AAAAAGGTCTCTATAAAAACATATTTTACAAGTGTGTGGGATGTATTTGTTTCTTTACTGAAACAACAACTAACTGCAGGCAGATAATGAGATCATGAGATCGAGACCATCCTGGCCAATATGGTGAAACCCTGTCTCTACTAAAAATATAAAAATTAGCTTGGCATGGTGGCATGTGCCTGTAGTCCCAGCTACTTGAGAGGCTGAGGAAGGAGAATCACTTGAACCCGGGAGGCAGAGGTTGCAGTGAACTGAGATTGTGCTGCTGCACTCCAACCTAGCATCAGAGCAAGACCCCATCTCAAAAAAAAAAAAAAAGGAAAGAAAAGTAAGTTCTCAAGAAACAGGAAACTAGCATATTGCGAGCTAACGTTTCTGGCACATGGAACCTATAGTAACTATCTCCCAGTCATGAGTCATGGATTAGGCTGCCCCTCTACTGTTAAGCAATTTTTCAGTAAAAGGAGCAGCATATGAATAATCATTTGGACAAGTTCCCAAGAAGAAATCCGAGTGAAGCTAAGTCTGAGAAAATTATACAGTATACATTATACTAATGCTCTGTTTCTTACTCCACTCCTACTATTTCTTACTGGCAAAGAAAGTGAAATTTAGAGTCTTTAGTTCTATCTAAATTTTACTATTTTTAATGAATTTTAGTAATACTGAATAAAATTGTACAGGTATTATCTTGGTTTTAAATTTTATGAAAATGAATCATTTAATGCATCATTATAAGTTACTTAGTGATTATACTTGCAAAAAGCTCTCACCTGTCACATGCCCACCCCAGCACACACACACAATGACACCAGAAGGCAATACTCTGCTTTACCTTCTGCTGAAAAGTCTGCTACCTCCAACGCTTGAGGTCCATACACGAAGCCCTCCTGGAATCTATGAACACAGCAGAGGCAAAAGGCAGAGAAGTTTATGTAGATTTAAAGTTACACTGCCCAAAACATAAAATGCCAAATGCCTATCACAAGTCTACATATCTGCCAAGAAAATCAGATTTTAGATTTGACAATGAGCAAATCAAAAATCTATATATAACAGTCACAGTTCATTATATATAATGCAGCTTATTGTATGAAAAAAACAAAAGTTGAGCCTAAACTAATTATATTCTTTTTTTTTGAGACGGAATCTCATTTTGTCACCCAGGCTGGCGTGCAGTGGGTTCAAGTGATTCTCCTGCCTCAGCTTCCCAAGAAGCTGGGATTACAGATGCACACCACCATGCCCAGCTAATTTTTGTATTTTTAGTAGAGATGGGATTTCACCATGTTGGTCAGGATGGTCTCGATCTCTTGACCTCGTGATCCACCCACCTCAATCTCCCAAAGTGCTGTGATTACAGGCGTGAGCCACTGCACCCGGAACTAATTATATTCTTATCAAAATAAGCAATTTACACTACTGAAAAACTAATATAGCAATAAAGTATGAATTTATATACACTGAATGTAACAATTCAACTTTCTAAATTGTGTGAGAGCCAATACATATGCAGTAGTCCCCCCTTATTCATGGGGGATATGTTCCAAGACCCCCAGTAGCTGCCTGAAACCTGGGATAGTACCAGACACCCGATATAAACTTTTTTTTTTATCTAATAACTAAGTGACAGGTAGTGTCTACAGCATGAATACGTTGGACAAAAGGATGATTCATGTCCTCAGAGGGACAGAGCAGGACAGTGCTCGACAGCACAAGATTTCAACATGCTACTCAAAATGGGTATAATTTAAAACATGAATTCTTTATTTCTGGAATTTTCCATTTAATATTTTCAGACCGCAAGTCAGTAACTAAAACAGCAGAAAGCAAAACTGCAGATAAGGGAACTACTGTATAAAGAATATAAAACAAATTAAAGGCTAGGCACAGTGGGTCACACCTGTAATCCCAGCACTGTGGGAAGCCAAGGCCAGCAACTGCTTGTGCTGAAGAGCTCAAGACCAGTGTGGACAACAGGGTGAAACCCCGTCTCTACTAAAAATACAAAAACTAACTGGACGTGGCAGTGCACACCTGTAGTCCCAGCTACTTGGGAGGCTGAGGTGGGAGGATCACCTGAGCCCAGAAGGTTAAGGCTGCAGTGAGTCCTGATCATACCACTACACTCCAGCCTCAGTGACAGAGCAAGACCCTGTCTCAAAAGAAATTTGGTAGAAAAATTTACTTCACAAAATGGAGTCTGGCAGGCCCTGCAGCTCAAGGTACATTTTCTTCTTAGAACCAGAAATTGTTGGGAATATAAGAGAAAAACAATTAAAAACAGACCTAGAAGAGGACAAGGTGAAAGAAGAAAGAGGAAAGTAGGACTGTAAAGCTATTCTAGTAGCAAGATTTCATTTAATTCTGACAGCAATACTGAAATAAGGAAGGTACTACATATGCTAGGCAGGATGGGAGAAATCTACCTCGTTCTAGTATTATAAAATAAAAATAATCATGAAATATGAAAGACTTTTCAGAAAACATTCATGTAAAAAAATTAGAATTTAATCAAGTAAAATATTTAGATCTCAGATTTTATTTCATTCTTTTCTGGTGATAGGGATAAAAGACTATAAAATACAGCTGATGTATAAGAAAAATGAATGAGATAAATTTTATCAGCTGTTACATTTAAAAGAGAAAAGCATGTTATCTTTATGGAATATTTAGAAATCTTTAAAAATATCACCAAATAATTAGGAAAGAGGGAACAAAGTATTGTCTTAAAACCTGATGACATGTCAAGGAAAAAATAATATTTTAAAACACTGGCCCCGAAGCCAGGTGACTTGAGTTCAAATCCAAGGTAGTTCACTTAATTGCTTTGTGACATCAGACACTTAATCTCTCAGTATAACCAGAGTTGTTCAAGGAGGACACCTTCACCATCTCTTAGATTTATACTGAATATCAGCGAAACGAGGTTTTTAAAAATGTTATAAATCACAGAATGCTATTTTATGCAAAAATTTAAGCCAGTGCATTCTATTTAAATTAGTGACTAAGCAAAAATTGTTAACTAAGAACCAAAGAAAATAGCCAGGCAGTGGGTCAACGCCTGTAATCCCATCACTTTGGGAGGCCGAGGTGGGTGGATCATCTGAGGTCAGGAGTTCAAGATCAGCCTGGCCAACATGGCAAAAAACCCCATCTCTACTAAAAATGCAAAAATCAGTTGGGTGCAGTGGCAGGCACCTGTAATCCCTGCTCAGGAGGCTGAGACAGGAGAATCGCTTGAACCCAGGAGGTGGAGGTTACAGTGAGCTGAGGTCATGCCGCTGCACTCCAACCTGGGCAACAAGAGTGAAACTCCATCTTAAAAAAAAAAAGAAAGAAAATATTCTTTGCGCAGCCAAAGGAGAATCTGAGGAGCTGGGTAAGGAAGCCCCAAGAAGCAAAGCGAAAGTTTGAGCTGGCCAAAAGAGCCTAGAATAGCTAAATGGCAGCCAGAAGAACACAGTCCCCAAGAGATGATTATATCAAATTACTAATTTACCAATATGCCCAACCCCAGCTGTATCTTCTCTTAATTCCCAAAACAGCCTTCTAGACTGCACCCTCCTCTACAGTAGTGCTTGTGACATTCTACATTACGTGCATTTGATATACTATGTTAAAACACAGTAACTAATTGCATATTACATGTAATCTTAAAAACCAGAGATAAAAATTCCTATCAAATGAAACAATAATAGCAGCTAAGGCTTATATAGAATGTTTGATGTGCCAGCTACAGTTCTAAGAGTTCTACAAGCACTAACGCATTGGGTCTTCACAACTCTGACGTAGGTATTATTATTATACTTTAAAGATGAAGAAATGAGGTACAGAGAATTTAAGAAACTTGCCCAAAAGCAAGCAGCTAGAAGTGGCAAAAACCCAGACCACTTCTAGAAACATGTTCTTAATCACCACATCATCCAGCCTATGAAATTAAAATCATAAAAACCAGGCATCTATCTCTATGTAAGAAGCCAAACAATTATACATGTTCTTAAGTATTCAACCATGCTATATATTCCTCAGCATATGCAACATTTTCTCAGAAAATTCAAATTAAAATGATGGCATATAAAATAGGTAACCAAGTGAGAAATGTTTGATATGAAACTAAAAGAAAAATTAAAACTTTTCAAAAGAAAAGTCCTTAACATTTTAAATCAATATATCCAAATAATAAATAATGTTGGTATAAGAGTAGCAAGACTGAGTATTCCTGTTTTTCAAGCTTGCTGCCATTTGATTATATAACTCAAACATTTTGTAAACTTTAAAATCTCAATACAATAAGATACCACCTCATACCTTATGATGGATACTATCAAAAAACTAAAATCAAAGAAAAAGAAAATAACAAGTGTTGGTGAGGATGTGGAAAAGCTGGAACCCTTGGGTACTGCTGGCGGGAGTGTAAAATGGTGCAGTTGCTATGGAAAATAGTATGGTGATTCCTGAAAAAATTAAACACAGAATTACCATATGATCCAGCAGTTCCACTTCTAGGTACAGAGTCAAAAGAGCTAAAAGCAGGGACTCAAGGAGATATTTCTATACCCATGTTTGTAGCACCATTATTCACAGTAGCCAAAATATGGAAGCGATCCAAGCTTCCCTTAACAGATGAGTGGATAAACAATTGGTAGCATATACACAGAATAGAATATTAGCCCTAAAAGGGGGAAATTCTGACACATGCTACAAGCTTTAAGGCATTATGCTAGGTGAAATTACCCCTCACAAAAGGACAAACACTATAGATCCCATGTATATGAGGTGCCTACAGTAGTCAAATTCACAGAGACAGAAAGCAAAATGGTGGTTGCCATGGGCTGGGGGAAGGGAAGAATGGGGATTTACTCTTTAATAGGTAGAGTTTCAGATTTGTAAGATGAAAGAAGTCTGTGGATGGATGGTGGTGATGGGAGCACAACAATACAAATGTACTCAATGCCACTGAACGGTATACCCAAAAACGATGGTAAATTTCAGCACTGCTGGGATGGAACGTGGCTAGACTTAGCGGGTCTAGCTGCTCAGGGCCTGAGCAGCACGCTCGGAGCCGTCGCGCGCCAAAGCGGGAATCCGGGAAGCGGGCAACTCTGCAATTAATGCACGTATTTTAAACTCCTGAACCTGCGGACGCTGTGCACAGGAAGCACCTCCAGGAGATTCCAGTCCTGAGTAGCAACGTTGCCACTAGCTTCACGTGGGAATGGGATTCTAGCAAGACTTCTGAACTGCTCTCAGGCATGGGGGTCTCCGCCCCGGAGAAAGAGGAGCCCGACAGTGAGAATATCCCCCAGGAACTGCTCTCAAACCTGGGCCTCCATCAGAGCCCCCCAAGGAAACGGCTGAAGAGCAAAGGGAGTGACAAAGACTTTGTGGTTATCCCCAGGCCTAAGCTAAATCGAGAGAACTTTCCAGGTGTTTCATGGGACTCCCTTCCGGATGAGCTGCTTTTGGGGATCTTTTCCTGTCTGTGCCTCCCTGAGCTGCTAAAGGTCTCTGGTGTTTTTAAGAGGTGGTTTCGCCTAGCGTTTGACGAGTCTCTATGGCAAACCTTAGACCTCACAGGTAAAAGTCTGCACCTGGATGTGACTGGTCCGTTGCTGTCTCAAGGGGTGACTGCCTTCCGCTGCCCACGATCATTTACAGACCAACCATTAGCTGAACATTTCAGCCCTTTTCGTGTGCAGCACATGGGCCTGTCAAACTCAGTTACTGAAGTGTCCACCCTCCAGGGCATTCTGTCTCAGTGTTCCAAGTTGCAGAATCTAAGCCTGGAAGGTCTGCGGCTGTCAGAGCCCATTGTCAATAATCTCGTACAAAACTCGAATTTAGTTCGACTTAACCTTTGTAGATGTTCTGGATTCTCTTAATTTGCCCTGCAGACTTTGCTAAGTGGCTGTTCCAGACTGGATGAGCTGAACCTTTCCTGGTACTTTGATTTCACTGAGAAGCATGTGTAGTTGGCTGTTGCGCACGTGTCAGAGACCATCACCCCGCTGAATCTTAGCGGCTACAGAAAGAATCTCCAGAAATCACATCTTTCTACTTTAGTTAGAAGATGCTCCAATCTTGTCCACCTAGACTTAAGTGATAGTATCATGCTAAAGTATGACTGCTTCCCGGAATTTTTCCAGCTCAACTAACTCCAACAACACCTGTCTCTCAGTTGGTGCTATGATATAATACCTGAAACTTTACTTGAACTCGGAGAAATTCCCACACTAAAAAACACTACAAGTTTTTGGAATTGTGCCAGATGGTACCCTTCAACTGTTAAAGAAGGCCCTTCCTCATCTACAGATTAATTGCTCCCATTTCACCACCATTGCCAGGCCAACTATTGACAACCAAAAGAACCAGGAGGGGCATCAAATGCCGACTGACCCAGCAAAAGCCCAGTTGTCTGTGAAGCAGTTACTGCAGGATGGTGTCTCTTCTTTAGAACAGGGAAAGTAGGCAGGAAGCCCAATTGATGGAGTACTTAGCTAGTTTTATTCTTGGTTTTCCCTTTGCCTTCATTCTGCAAGTATATTAGGGAACCATTTGAGAGGGAAAACTATGAAATCTTGCTTTTTGAAATGATTCTATCACTGCTTTGCTCTTAAGAGCCAAAGTTGTAGGCCTTTCGAAATTTTGGGAGAGTGAGCCTATAATTTCAAGATACCTTAAAGAGCAAAATTTGAGCCAACTTTTTCAAGTGCCCTTCTTATTAAGTCCATTAAGAGTCAAGCTCAAAAATTACCACCAGCAAACAATCTTCATAGCTTATATAACTTTTATCTATTTAATTTTATAGTATTGCTTTATAAGACAGCTTAGAATAATAATAACTTATTTGTATTATAAGCTGAACAAAAAGAGAATCATAGGATAGTAGCATATGAGGCCATCTTTTCTGGTAATGAGGAAGATAAAAATGCATTTTAATTTTGCCTTTAGATTTGCAACTAGGTTAATAGAAATTAGTAGCCACATGTAATTCACCTTAAAACTTACAAAAGACCAAACATTACAAAAACCAGAGGTATAGAATTGGTATTGAAGGCCCAGGAGACAGCTTTCTACGACAGGTTAATTTGAAGTATCTCGTAATGTTCATTAAGTTACTCTGTTTCCAGAATTCTAAATTAGATGAGAAATATAATTGTTTTCTAACTTGATAATCAAATTATGTGAAGATGGGTCCTTAAGATTTTTAAATGACTTGCTTTGTAAAGGTGCTATTAATCTAGTCTCTATTCCTGAACATTTGGATGGAAGAATTCTGAACTTGCCTGTTGTTTTCCTTCAGCGCTGAAGTTTTTAAGGTTAGTTTTATATTCTAAAATCAAGTATTTTAAATTGTCATTTTTTTAAATGATCTTTCACCAATAATTGTTTGAAACTATTTATAAGGGTATTGGACCTAAAGTCCGAGGAACTGCACTCCCTTCAATCAGAAATATACAATGGAAGTAGGTATATGTTTCATGCAGTTTCAGTAGGATGCACTACTTATACCTACACAAGAGTTAAAATTCAGATGTGGGATCTTTTGATACCATCAAGTGATTTTATTTTTAAACTGGTACATAGGAACAAAAAGATTAAATTCTACTTCTTAAAAATCACAAAAAACTAGTTTAAATTGACTTCTTCATATGTTCAAAATGTAATGCCAAGAAAAGCCAAAACCCATCATTTGTATTATTTTTTTAATCAAAAATTGTTAACGTTAGAAACATAGTATGAAGTACCTCTAACTGCTTAGACCTAAGGAAGATTTTAAAGTTGGGTTACACAGGAAATGATTATGCTTAAATTTCTTATTAAACAGTGCTAAATACTACTTGAAATTATTGTTTACAGATTAGTGACAAGAGCTGGGATTAGGATTCAGTTGGACTCTGACATCCAGATGCCCTCAAACATACAGAACTTCCAAACTCAAGTCCAGCCATAAGCTACTTTGCCAACATGTCAGAGTAATCTGTATTTTTGTATGTGATTTCTACTTTTATAGACTTGGTTTGAAATAAAACACATTTTAATAAAAATGAGTACTTAAAAAAAGATGGTAAATTTCGTATGTGTATTTTATCACAATTTTTTTAAAGTAACATGTGCTAAGTACAGAAAATCTAAAAAGGGAATTGCAAAAAAGAAAAATAAAATTATTTCATCTCCCAGAAAACCACTGTAAACCCATTTAATGTATACCGTCATATAGTTTTTGGGAGGCCAAGGCAGGTGGATCATGAGATCAAGAGTTCAAGACCAGTCTGGCCAAGATGATGAAACCCTGTCTCTACTAAAAATATAAAAATTAGCCAGGCATGGAGATGAGCATCTGTAATCCCAGCTATTGGGGAAGCTGAGACAGGGAACTGCTTGAACCCGGGAGGCTGAGGTTGCAGTGAGCTGAGATCACGCCACTGTACTCCAGCCGAGGCAATAGAGCTAGACTCCGTCTCAAAAAAAATAAAAGAAATTCCTATCAATGTCTTTCTTACAAACGTTAATCCTCTTTAGTACTGAAATATTTAATTTTCCTAAAAGCTTAATTGGAAACCGTTTAATTCAAAGGTAAAAACAAAGTATAATTTTTGCCCCTCTAAAATAGTTATCAAAATAACCACTTTATTCTTGTAAGTTTCCCAGGAGAATAGCTTTTACTCACAGTTACCACAGTGTTTCAATTCTTATATTCATTAACCAAATCGGTCTTGTGTAGGCAATCACATGTATTACTACTTGGGTAAATAGTACTAAATTGTTTTCCCTACCTCCGCTATCCATCCTCTTTGTGGTAAACACTACTGTCTGCCTAGTATACACCCATTCTCCCTTTCTTCCTTAGGAACAGACCATGGTTTTATTCTGGGTGGCATGTATCCAGGTAAAAGTGTACATTTCCCAGCCTTCCTCACTGCTAGGACTGGTCAATAAACTAGAAGTGGAAGTCATTGGATGGGACACTTCCAAGATAGCTACTTAAAGGGAACTTAGCTAGAAATGTGTCTGTAGCTCGGATACAGTGGATGGCACTCCAGCAGTCATTCTGGACAATAAGAGTAATGGAAACTGTGCCAAGGGACAGTGAACCAGACAGAAGGAACTCAGGTCTGTGATGATCCTAGAGTCATCATGCCAAAACTGGACATCAATGTGAGAAATATACCTCGATGTTGTTGAGACCAACTGTTTTGTATTGTAGGTGAACCTAAATCTAACTAATATACCCACCTTTACACAGGTGTAACAGTGACCTTTCTAAAATGCAAATCAGAATTGTCAAAATCCTTATCTTGGCACACAGGACCTTTCATGATTTCTTTGACCTCTGCTTATAACTGCAGCCTTACCTCCAGTCATAAAGAATCAATTATAGGCTTCTAATACCACCATGCCTTTGCACAGGTGTATATACACTTTTCTTGAAATGAATGCCCTTCCCCAGTCTTTCTCCATGTATCTTTAAAGTCTCAGCTCCTCCAAAGAGGAGCTCACCCTATACACAGGCATGAACAACATACTCATGCACCAAATATGAATGCAAAACGTTCCTTTGTGTTTACCTTTCCTATGCAGCTATAATGTAATGTGGGGGTGTTTTGGTCTACCTTTGTCATCAAAGGGAAAGGCCTTGAGGATAGGAAACCATTTGTAATTCTTTGGCTTTCCATAGCCCTTAGTACAAGGTCTAGACTAGAGCATAAAGAACTCAACAAATGTTAGATGAATAAATGAAGTTCAGAGAAGTATTCATTCTTAAGTACTTCAGAAACCTCGGCTAGGCACACTGCCTCATGCCTGTAATCCCAGCACTTTGGAAGGCAGAGGCAAGAGGATCACTTGAACTCAGGAGTTCACTCTGAGCCTGGGCAACAGAGTGAGACCCGCATCTCTACAATAAATAAATAAATTTTTTAAACCTCACATTCCCAAGCACTTAAAAAGGGGGCCAGGCACTGTGTTTTCATGCCTATAATCCCAGCACTCTGGGAGGCCGAGGTAGGCAAATTACTTGAGGTCAGAAGTTTGAGACCAGCCTGGCCAACATGGTGAAACCCTGTCTCTACAAAAATAAAGCTGGGTGGTGGCTCATGCCTGTAATTCCAGCACTTTGGGAGGCTGAGGCAGGCAGATCACCTGAGGTCAGGGATTCAAAACCAGCCTGGCCAACATGGCAAAACCCCGTTTCTACTAAAAATACAAAAATTAGCTGGGTGTGGTGGCACACATCTGAAATCCCAGCTATTCAGGAAGCTGAGACAAGAGAATCACTTGAACCCAGAAGGCAGAGGCTGCAGTGAGCCAAGATCGCACCACTGCACTCCAGCCTGAAAAAAAAATCAGCTGGGTGTGGTGGCATGCACCTGTAATCCTAGCTGCTCAGGAGGCTGAGGCAAGAATCACTTGAACCCAGGAGGTGGAGGTTGCAGTGAGCTGAGATCGCACCACTGCATTCCAGCCTGGGCAACAGAGCGAAACTCCATCTCAAAAAAAAAAAACACTGTTGCCTTCATTTCAAATCACAACACACAAAAAATCTCCTATCAAGGTATATATCAGAAGACACCAGAATTTATCTTAAGACAGTTGGTAATACTTAAATTTCCTTAACTATAAAATACCATTTTTCTTCCAAAATAAACCTAGCTTCCTGAGTGGATAAACAAACCTATTTTTTTTCAGTATACTTGTTCAGGTGTTCAAGAGAAGGCAATGAAGAACACTTTACCTCATTTCAAGATACCTCTATAACAAATATTTATTGGGATCAATTATGTGCCAGGCATTGTACTACACAATTAAAATACTGAATGATGAGCTATTTGAAAGAAGAAAGTTCCAGGGCACTATGAGTGCTCAGGAGGAGTATCGTGCGCATCTCTCATCTCTGGAAGATTTCTTATCATCCTATCTTCCAGAGATGAGAAAGCCCAGAGGAGGTGGCATTTAGATATATACTTTTAAATTTTTTTACAGGAAAAATGAAACTTGCAGGAAAGAGATTTTAACTTTCTTTCTTATAATCTCAAGTTTGTTCTTAAGACAGAATAAGCCATTGTCTTTCAGTGTCCACTACATAGCACTATGTAGTTCTTTATGTACATTATCTTGACGAACCATTCAAAAAGTTGTAAGGAAAGAAAATGTGTGCAATATTAGTGTATTAGTCCATTTTGCATTGCTAGAAAGGAATACCTCAAACTGGCTAATTTATGAAGAAAAGAGGTTTATTTGGCTCATGGTTCTGCAAGCCATGTAAGAAACATGGTACCAGCATCTGCTTCTGGTGAGGGCCTCAGGAAGCTTTCAATCATGGCACAAGGGGAAGGGGAGCCAGTGGGTCACACTGCAACAGAAGGAGCAAGAGAGAAAGGAGGGATATTCCAGATTCTTTTTGAACAACCACATCTCCCTAGGAACTCACTCGTTACCCAGGACAGCACCAAGCCAGTCATAAGGGATCTGCCCCTATGACCCAAATATTTCCCAGTCAGCCCCACCTCCAACAGTGGAGGTCAATGTTCAACCTGAGATTTAGAGGGGACAAATATCCAAACTGTATCAGACAGTTGCCTGTTCCCAGTGGTAAGAAACAGCAGAACCTAATGAAGGCAAGACCCAATTTGGGCTGAATGCAGTGGCTCACACCTCTAATACTAGCACTTTTGGGAGGCCAAGGCAGGCAGATGGCTTGAGCTCAGGAGTCGAGACCAGTCTGGGCAACATCGTAAAACCCCGTTTCTACAAAAAATACAAAAACTAGCCAGTCGTGGTGACACATACCAGTAG